ATGGGATGCTAGTCCATCCTAAGGTTACCCCCCAGCATTTCACCAGACTTCCCTGGCAATTTGCTAAGTGAAGAGAGGCACTGTGAGAGAAAGTGTTTGTTCAAGAACACAACACATTGACCCAGCCAGGTCTCCAGCCTAGATCTCTTGACCCATAGTCTAGTGCAATAGCCATTAAGCCAATGCATCTCCCACTCTTGAAAACAAAGGGCTAAAATAAAGATAGGGTTCATTCTAGAGGCGTTTACATTGGAAGTTTCAAGAGTTTTATAGACTTTGAAACTTTAAAAGAGTCTGAGGCCTTGAATACATTTTTTTGTGTTTCTAATAACAGTTGCCCTTCTGGTGCTGCATTTCCAGTTGAAAGAAAATCACATCTTTGAAGTTTGAATACTTTTGTGAAAGAAAGCTGAGAGGCTGATTTTTATAATAAGGACACAATTTTCGAAGTCAAAATGTAAATTAAGTGTGTTTTCCTACCTAAAAAGCTAGTCTCTATAAGAAAGATTATACAGATTGTTATTAACAATTGTACAAAATTGACTTCTAGGAAAATCAAGTTTGCTTCTTTATGACATAAAATGAAGAGATTCCATCTTTCTGTAGGTCTGTTTGATATTCTAAAATGAGAAATGTTTCTACTTTTACAAGCAATTCCTAGAGATGAAATGTAATGAAAAACAAGAAATACTTCTGGAGTTGTTCTGGAGTGGGATTTGCTGGATCAATTTCATGTGTGTTGATATCAATCTTGGCGGGTTGTTTTGATAATGCCAGAGAAATTTTTCAGAAACATATTGCCAAAAGTGTGAAAAATCAAATGTGAGGACTAGATGTCACAGATGTCGTTGAAAATGTGGTAAGAGCTTGCAGAACTGACAAAACTGACCCATGGCAACATTGATTCTTTTTGTCAATTAGCATATTTCCTCAAATAAGTTTCCTGAATAAGTGCCCACCCCCTAGACCATAATGTCAAACAAGGTCATTGTTCATAATCTACTAGAAAAATGAGGCATGGCAGAAACCATTATGGCTGGAAATGTGCGAGATTTTTGGTGAATTGATATTTAGAGGCTTTAAAAAGCATATCAACCTATCAACTATTGATCTGTACATGTAAATAGGGCTATACAACTAATAATAAATTATCTGGGACACATATGCAGTGTGATTCTTCAGACATATATCAAATAAGATTAAAAACATTTGATAAGCATCAGAATGTCCAAACCTTTTTATGAAAAATTTGGTCTTGGAGGCGGAATTGAATGCACAGGGACTGAAGTCATGCCACCCCTCACTTACAACAAAAATTTTAAAAAAAGCAACAGATATCCTTGACACATAAATTAGTTTTTCATGCCTTTCTAACCGCACAAAAGAATCCCCAGAACATCTTCGACTCTAACAGTTATCGTACCATAAAATCAGCTCCTATGGCAATTTAGGCAATTACAAAATATTTGAATTTCCCGCGAATTATCATGAACTGAGGTTTCAAAACAACAGGATAACCAGATGAGATTGCAAGCTTAATACACGAAAAAGAAAAAAAAAAAAAAAAAAAGAGAAGAAACAGAAATATCGAAACAAAACGCTCCTCAAGCAATCTTAAAGTTACTAGTCCTTACCTCTTACAGTAGGTATTCTCTTGCAGTTAATTTGCAAATTCACACGTGGTCTCCATTTCAGAGTTTTTCAGGCTCCCTGACATAATTATCTCCATCCAAACATCATCAAACTAGTGCCACCTTGTACTGAAAGGCATCTGACCTTCATTTGCTGTTTTTGCTCCTTATTCGGTTTCAAAAAAGGCAGTTCATTCCATCCTTTCCGTGAAATCTCAACAACCACACAGCCTTTTTGAATTCACATAATTAACTAGTGTCCAGGACGGAATCCGTCCAGGACAGTGCGGGTTTTTTTTTTTTTCATGACTGGCGCGTCATGCAACACAGAAAATGCGCGGCAACACTCTTGATCGATGTCCACCATCCCATTTTTTACTGATCATTTTACCGTATACATGTACTGATAAAGAAAGGATGCTTTTGCATGCAATTCTACTCCAGTCTGCTGCAATCAGATATGGAGCTAAGAAAATTTGGCCTTGAGAGACAGTGAATTTACATACTCTTCAGACAATCATCATCGAGAAATCTGTTTGAGCAAAAAAAAAAACAAAACAAAGAATGATAGCTTATAAAATATAAACAGCGGGATGTATGAAGGCGATTAGTCCAAATACAAACTTCCAGGAGGAGAGGGACTGAAGGAACTTTAAGGGCTGTTTACATGAAAGTGGGGGACCTCAGGTAGGTGAGATTACCTGCCAAGGGGGGCCGGGTAGCTCGCCTGTCCATATTGATCATATTTATATGATAAGTGCGGTAATTCACATTGGCGGGTTGCCCGGTCTGCCATATAGGGTGACCCTGTCAGTTGGAGTTAAAATCAGCCATGTAAACGTCTCTAGATGGGGTAACCTATCAAGCCGGGGGTCGTGTTCATGTTACATTTGCAAGTGTGCCAACAACAACCTCTAGAAACTTTAACTCGGGATTGTAAGAGTACATGTGAACGCGGGTTATTCCCCGACTGACAGTCAGTCGGGGTTAAAATTAGCCATGTAAAGCCAGGTAAAGCCAGGTGGGGTAACCTGCCGGGCCGGGTTCGTTTTCATGTTACATTTGCAAGTATAACAACCACAGCCTCTAAAAACTTCAACTCGGGATTATAAGATTGCATGTAAACGCGGGTTATTTACCGACCAAAGCTAGGCGGGGTACGTCACCTACCATGGGTCCCCCGCTTCCATCTCAACAGGCCCCTGGGGTGGCACGGTTTAAAATCACTTTTAGAATGCCAACGATTCATACATTACTACAAATCTTCTGTAATAATGATGTAGTTGCAATACTGATTTCAGGCATACAGAAAATAAGAGAGAATAAAATGATTTACTGCTACAGCTTGCAGACAAATGTTTGTCACAGGGACAACACTTCCAGAAGATTGCTTTTAACCATTTCGTTATGAATAATAAAAAACAAAAACTTTTTGGGATAATCTGTCAGCATATTTCTATTTAAGCCAAACATACAAAATCAATGGAGTAAACCAAAAAATTGAAAAGCCCAATGGCAAAATTCAAGATTTATTCTAAAATTTTTGGTTCCTTCTGATGCAAGAGGAAAGTTACAAAGGTCATATTAAAGATAAAAATAAAAACGTTGATAGGCCAATCATTGCATGTCATTGCATCAAGAAATATTTTTACCAAAGGGGTTTTGATTTGCGATAAACTCTTCATCCGGTCAGCGTATGAAACAACAAAAAAGAAGCAATTACAACTGAGAGTTCAGCTAAAAAAGGTTTCATTGTATGTGATCTCTTCGCTTCAACTTACCCCTCCCCATGAGAGTTTGGAATATAACCCTACCTCTCCCCTACTTATTTTATTTTGAATCACATGATTACGTAGGATATTGTATTTGCATAGGTCTTCATCCAATCAGAGTGAAGTGTAGCAGGTCACATGTTCAATGAATGACAACAAATTTGATCTAAAACAAAAACACATTACCTTCGGTCAGCAGAAGACGGTGAAAGGGAACTAAGCGAAGGACTTCTCTAGTGAGATTTACGCTGGAAAGAAAGGTCATATTTTTCTTACATCGTAGGCGTTAAGTGTTGTTTTTTTTTTCGAGGAGACACGCGTGTGATCTCCCTCGGCGAAAAATCCTTAGTCGAATAGATAGAATTAGTTCAGGGCCAATGACTGAAAAACTTGATTCTTCTTCGTCCGCCCCGGTGGACGGTTGTCGGAGGAATATGGAGCAATACGGGAGCGATGGAGATGATGAACGGACAAGTGGACAGAGTGGAGGCGAAGCAGGTGATGTGGAGTCTTCTACAGACAAGAATGATGTTCAAACTAGTGAAATTGGCGCACTTGCCACAACAACCACTCAATCGGTCTCTGACTGGAAACCTTTGCCCATTCGCAAGAAACACCGCCGCGGGTCGAGGCGAAATAATAACAAACCTGGTAAGAGATATGTACCCTATTCAAAACTTTCCTGGGAAGAGAAAAAACAGAGAGACGAGAGAGACACCAAGAGAGCATTTAAATTTCGAGAACAGTATATTAACGCTAAAGGGCGTCCGACTGCTCCTTACAATACCACACAGTACTTAATGGCTGAACACGATCTTGAAGAACCAGATTTAGGAACACACGTTCATATGCAGTCCGATGGTGAGGAGGGAACTCCTTTGCGGAAAAGGGCTCCGTCTAACTCGTGTGACGATTCAGATTTCGACGACGATTATAACGAATCGCCCGAAGACGAAATGTACGAACAGAAGTTCTTTGAGAAAGATTTTACGGAGGCATACGAGCAAGTTCATATTGAAAACTTGCATTCAATGAGCAAAAGCGAACTTGTGCGTGAATTTATGCTTCTAGAAGAACGCATAGAAACCATGGAAATTAAACTTAAAGAAGCGGGTGGTATGGGAAGTGCAATTGCGAGACACACTTCGACGGAAGAACTTTCAGGGGCTTTAAACTGCGATAACAGTTTGGACGCGGGTACGGAAGACTCTAAACCCAGAGACAATATATTGCTGGCTGAATTGAATAGATTGCGCCAGGAAAATGAGCGCTTGCATACAGAAAACGAAGAAATGAGGAGAATTTACGGTAACTCTACCGAGGCTAAAGTGTTGTGACGTTTTCGTGCAGTCATCTGCTGAAGACGCTGTAGTTGATTTAAAGTTTCAAATTGTGCGCTACGAGGAATTCTGTGAGTGGTCAAAAATGTACATTCGAAGGAAAGAATCACTGTAAAACTCAAAATGTAACGTAGGGACTCTCAGAATTTCAATCATAAAGCGCGGTAAAGTTTTGTTAATATATAAACTAAACGTTTAGTTTTAAAATAAAATATTGGTGTGTAGTGATTCCGGAAGGTATCAATCGTGTATTTTTTGTCGGTCTTTGTTTACGTTGAAAACGCGCTCGATATCATCATTCTCACTGACTCCATTGAGACAAGACCTTTACAAAGTAATGTATTATTCACAAGAAACGGGAGCGAAAATAAAAAATAACGAATGATTAGTGAAAATGAAAGTTCAGCGTTGTTGAATTGATGTATGGGAATTAATTTATCTTTCCTTTGCATAAATATATTTAACGTGACCGCACTTGAAACTAAAATTAGGAAGGGTATAACAGCGTACACTGTTTCAGTAGTGCGTTCGGAACAAGAATTTTGCGACTTATTTGCTGTGTATTGGATATAGAAATGGCTGGCAAAGTTAGTGCAAGAGTAGAATCATGAACAGAACAAGTGTTCAAGTCTGGTGCTGGTGCCAGCTGACCCACCCTTAAAATATCGATTTTACCTTCATCAAATTGCGGTTAACCAATTTCGAGATACATGTGGATATTTACTATTTTTAAATCAAAACAAGACCAATCAGGTCTGGATAACAAAATCCTTATTAAGTTAATGCACCTTTTTCGACAACAGTACTCTTGTTTTTTAAATAAGCTTGACCTTAAGTCAATCAGAGGAAATCCTCTTTTCCAGTGATAGACAATAGTCAAAACAGTAAATATCTCTATGAATGTTCATGTCACCTTGTGAAGAATCTGAACAAAGAACGTTGCTCCTTGATTTTCTACTTAAGACAACTCAAGCAAGTAATTCACAAGTTGAGAGTGCAGTGAGAATCAAGGTCAGAGCAAAGAAAGAAAGAATTAAAATGTTTGGAATTTTTTGCAAATAATTTGATGTGTTGTGACTCACAGCTGTGGAAAACAACTGATAGTAAAGGGGTGAAACTGGCCAATATGAAGTCATGCAATACAAAGCTTAACCCCTCAACCCTCAGAGGTAATTAACATGTAACTTCTCTCAATAATATTGATACATTATCCAACAAACAGGTAATAAGGATACTTGAACTCACCAGGTAGAAGTTGTTCTCTTGATCTAACACCAAATTCTTGCAAATAATGTAAAGAATTGTGTAGCAGCTAGAGGGGAGAATTAATAACTAGATCTTGGGAGCTAAATAGGTAGACAGCTGTAGTCTTGAAGTTCAGAAACAGTTCAAAAAACAAGAAAACAGGATGGGACTCGCAATCCAAGATAAGGTCGACTAAGTAACAGCTGTTGTAGACAACTTGGTATCCATAACACACAGCTGAACATCTTTCCCAACTGTTTTTTAAATTACTTTTTTTCCACAGTGGTAACAAAACAAACTATTATATTTTCTCTTCCCTGTTTTTGCTAGCACAAAGACAAATGTCTGTGTTGGTGTATTTGCTAGCAAAATGAATCCAGACAAAACTTCCTTATTTAGTTCTTTGTTCTTTTTGTGACTTACACATCGATGCACACAAATTAGATGCCTATTCTAGATGAAAGTTTGCAAAAGGCTTACTCACCATCTCTCATAGCGCCACACCTTAACTTTGGCATGTACGTGGGTAGTGTAGAACATAAAATGGAAAGTTAAATAATTTGCTGTCTGGTTTTTCATTCTCAAACCAAACAAATTTTGGTGATTTGCAAAGGACAGCTAAAATGTAGAAAGTTGTAATGCACACATCCTCAGCTATTGTTCTATGCATTAGAGCATATTTTTTTGCCATCATGGTTGAGGTTTGCCTCAAGTTCCTGATGTAACCATAAAGTGCCAGTGTTTAAAATGCTCCGTATCACTGTGACCTATCCTATAAAGAACCTGATCACCTTCAGAACTATTAAAAAATGACAGGAAAAACAAAACTGCCACAATGACACATTGCAAAAGTAATTTTATTGTGCTCTTTTGTGTACAGAGTGGTCACAAGTCATATTTGCATATTTGCATATTTGCATCCCCTTACGGTTTCAGAAAAATTTGAGCTAAGTTCAATATAGAACACAAGCGTTTGGCTTATGTTGTCCATAAGTCAAGCCTGAAAACAGGTAAATCAAAATTACCATCCAACAATGGCCTTCCAAAACTTTAATTTTTGAGATACCAAAATTCAAGCAACATGGATCATAAGTAAAAACATACTTCAGTCAGCTAGGACAGGTGATATAACCAAATTGGAACTGATTTGGTTATGAGTTTGGGAGGGCAAACACAAGGCCGTAAACAACAATGTTGAAATTTATTATGGTAAAATACTTTACTTCAATATCAGTTCCATACCATTTTTAAAAGCCTTAGAAAGCCCATCCCTACAGCAGCTTGCCTTCCCCTATGTCACTTACAAAGGATATTTATTCTATTTTCTTGAGTCTGACATTTCCTTCAAATGACTCCAAATGCCACCTCTGAATTATCTTGCCTTGCTGCACTTCAAACGTCTGGTGTATTATAGTAACACTGCACAACCAATATGTGGTTTCTCCTGTTCCATTCCCAGTGAAGAATGCCTTTTCATGGTTTCCACGATAGATGAGATGACATCAAATCACTATTCTGTTGACAGACAGACTTTCAATTTTCTCTCTGGTCTTTGTCTAGAGGGCAAGCAAAAAGCAGGAGGAAATGAGAGAGGAGGGTGATTCTTTTTACTCCTGCTACAAGGTCCCTCTCACACTATGCTATATATTTTCTTGTCCAACTTTAAAAAATCTGAGGGCAAACCAGAGAATAACTGTCTGTGACTTTTTAAAATCTCTTTCTTTTCCATCTCCTTTCCTTATGAGCCTTAACCAACACAACAGCTAGTCACTGTCTTCATCACTCTCTACAATCTGTCTGCTTTTCTTCTTCTTCCTCTGTGATCCTCCTCCTTCACTGCTTGTCCTCTTTCTTCCCTCCAAGTCATTGTCATCGCCTTCCTTGGCATTAAGTAATCTGTCCTTTCCCTCCTCATCCTCCTCACTCTCTAAGCCTCCTGCTCCTTCATCACTTTCTTCTGCCTCATCTGACTCACTTGGAAATCCTGCGGCAGAGAAGTTCATGTAATAAATACATTTTGGATAACAAAACACCACAGTAAACAAAATGGTAGTTGATGTGTGATCAGTCAACCTTTTCACCAGACAATGATTATCAGAGTGCTGTCAAAACCTCTGAATCACATCAGAAGTAACCACATTAGAGAAACAATAATACTTCACTTCGAATTAATTTAACTATCACATCCATGAGGAATTTTTAAAACTGGTAGAGGAATACACTCAAACTTGTAATAAGTGGCACTGTAATAAGCAGTCACCCTGTATATGGCCATCGGTTGTCGAGTGCTGAATTTTTCCCCCTTAATCACTGAAATTTTCACGTCTTTTAGGAGGTCACCAGTCACCCTTTACTATGTCCCAACAGCCTATTTTCATTGTCAACCAGCTGTATTGAATGGTCACTGAAAGCAGGGCCATTCAAAACTAAGGATAATCTTGCCAGTAATTTTTAATTCACATTTCTCTCCCAAAATCAGAGTAAATAGAATTTTTGAGCAAGATTCTGTACATAAAGTGGTCAATTATGGCATAAAAAGGTGTTATTTATCGTTCTTTGTGATAACCCTAATCTTTGGAACCTACGTGTATATTAAGCAGTCAACTTGTATTAAGTGGTCACCTCACCATTCCTTGTGGGCGACAGCTTAATACAGGATGGTTCAACTGTATTTTCAACCTATGTTTTACTGTTTCCTTTTCACTGCCTGATTTTGCATCACACTGCTTTCAGTGGACACAAACCCTTTTCTTTTACATTGAAAACAAACTAAAGTACAGTATTAAATGAAATGATCTTCAGTACATTTTCAAATTTCCCAAGAGAGGATTTAGCTAAATGACTTGACAAGTTAGCCCTCATTTAACCACACAGCTTGGTCAGTAGAGCAGCAACTATTTGAATGAGTCAAAGTGATGGGTTAAATCATGTTGAAATGCTTAGTTTTTTAACAAGTAACCTTCCTTGATTGCATAGTTTGATCACATCAATCTCTTGTGCCTTACCCTCAGCTAATTTCTTCTTGTACTTTTTCTTTATCGCCAGCAAACTCTGTTCCAAATCTTCTCCATCATCTTCATATCGATCAGGTTCAAGAAAGCTGGCACTCAGCCCTTTAGCTTGATGTCTCTCCTTGATTCTGCGCTGCTGATTTTCACGACGTAATAGTGCTCTGAGTCTCTCATCTTCTTTCTGCATATCAAAAAAATAATCTAAATGGCAATTCTCTCTCTCCTCTAGTCTCTACTCATTTGTATTCAAATTACTTGATTAAATAAAATTCTCATCACTAATTTATCTGCAACTGAAAAAATTCAGGCCTTTATGGGATTTGAACCCATGACCTCTGTGATACCAGTGTAGTGCTCTACTAACTGAGCTAACAAGCCAACTGGGAGCTAGTCATTATGTTGGTTTCAAATAAACCTGTGAAGTGATGAATAAATGACTGTAAATATATGAAAATCACATATGTGAACTGTGGATAAAGAAATGAATGTGGAAGCAATCTTTGTAGTTATGAACACTACTTAAGCAGTAGTAGTCTGAAAAAATTAATAAAGACCAACCCCCAGTGTGCTTGTTAGTTTAGTACGCAGAGCACTGCATTGGTATCACAGAGGTCATGGGTTCAAATCCTGTACAGGCCTGAATTTTTTTCAGGCCTTATTTTTCACTTCTGCTTAAATAGTGTTTATTACTGCCAAGATCACTTCCATATTCATTTCTTTATCAGCAGTTTAAATATATGATTCTCTTTTATCTACAGTCCTTTATTATGTTCATACCTTGATAAGTTCTGATCTCTGTGCCTCAGGGTCCATGCCAGCTGCAGGGAGTATTCGTATCTTTTGTGCTTTAGATGCTCGGTCGGCAATAGACAGTGTCATTTTTCTGTGAGTCTGGCTGGTTGTAGAGTGGGGTCTGAAAGTGAGTTTCTCTTTAAATACTGCTTGGCCCTGGAGACCAGTCCCCTAGAGAAATGAAATCATCAGGAAAACAAAACTTCTTAGTTACTGAGTTCAAACTCTGTACTCTGACCAATTTTGGAAAAGTTAAGTTACCAGGGGGGGAAGAGGGGAGGACAGATCTT